ACTTGAATGCTGTCATACTCTGTGATGTCCGGAGTAAGGAAATCTGCAATGCTCTCTCCTTGATAGAGCGGATTGTCATGTGGAACATAATTGTGGTAAGGAGGAGCTTGATATCTTGGCTGATGAACTGGTTGGGGTCGAATGGGTTGTGGACGGATGATATTTGGCTGAGGTTGGGTTTGATGGAATTGTTGATATTGGGGTTGAAGAGGCTGATTTTGTGGCTGAGTAAGGGGTGGATTTTGTGTGACTGGCGGTTGGTTCTGTCTGGGCTGAAAGACTGGATTGTTTTGCCCTAGACCTTGCATCCCAAAGGTTTGGTTTTGAAAAGTGCTTTCGGGAGCAATAGAAGTATTTTGGAAGAGCTGATATAGTGGTGGAAGATTTAGTTGTGGAGTGGACTGATTTTGAGGGAAGAATGGGGTACGAAGATTTTGATACCCCGGATAAGCTCTAGGTGAATTTTCTTGTGAAGACTGGGGAGAGGTATTAACATAAAAATCCAGATTACCAGGAGTGGTTTGGACCTCAGACGTCCCAGCTATTCCAGAATTGGATGGATGATCCATGGTTGCTTTCTGTTCTCTAAAGGCCTTGCGGTTCTGTTTAGCTAGCTTCTCGATCTCAGGATTAAGAGGGACTAGTGATTCTCCCTTCTTAGAGCGTGTATGCATAAACAGATCTGACCTGCAAGGTTAGTAGACAAAAATCCTACGAAAAACTAAAAACAAGTCGCTAAAATTAATTAACCCTTAAATCCGACACCGTCCCCGGCAACGGCGCCAAAAACTGATGTGTGTTTTCTCGCACTTAAAAATGATGTAGTAAAGTGGTTGAAAGTACGAGTATCGTCTCCACAGGGACGGACAAAAGGGAATTAAAGATTAACTAAATTCAGCGAATAAAAATAAAAAATAAAAATACAATGCAAGTGTGCGAGATTGATTTATTGAATAAAAATTAAATTAAACTAATGCGAATGAGCGAATAAGATAAATGTTTGGTTTCTTTCTAATTAACGACAAAGGGAACAGGGATTGATTCCGGGGTAATCAGATTTCTGGCAGAACAGGCCTAATTACATGAATTTAATTTAATTGAGCCTAGCTAATCATTACTAAGTTCTTACCGCTCTCGCGGCGTAGAGTACAATAATTTAGGGGACCAGGCTGATCTCTCATGCGACAAGATCCTAAATTATTGCCAAAACGAGCGAGCTTACGGCTCCTTAATCGCTACTAATCTCTTAGCGAACGATTAAGTGTGTGTGAATGTGTCCTAGAATAAATTAGATCTCTCTTAATTCATTCTACATGCAATTGTAATTCTAGCCGCGGTTCCAGGTTACAAAAGATATCAGTTAAATTATTCAAACACAAATTAAACGGCATTCATGCAATTAAACCGACAAGAATCTAGCCATCAATCATGATTAACCCCTTCATCAATCCCAAATCCCTAATTAAACTACTCACAATTCATAATTGAAGAATCAACAGAATTGGGATGAATAGAAATAATTGTCATTAATTAAAAAAAATAGAACTTACAAAGAATCCCTTAATCTTGAAGAACAAGGCTTGAAAAGCTCTTAAAAATCGAAATAGGGTTTATCTCTCTAAGCTCCTCTCGAAAAACAGGCAAAACAGGGGCTTATTTATAGAAAAATCCGAAAACGGGCCGAAAATCAGGCCGCGCGGTCGTCCGCACGTAGTGCGGGTCACCGCGCGGCCTGATTTTCGGCCCGTTTTCGGATAAAATAGTAGGAGTAATGAATAATGTAGAAAAAGTAGGAGAGAGTTTGTAAAAGTATGAAAGAGAAGATAAAAAGTGGAAAAAGTAAGGGTAGTTGAGTATTTTTAAAGGAAAAGACTTACCAAAAAGGGAAAGTGTAGCAAACTTTTAAATACATCCCAAAAAGGAAAGTGTAGCAAACTTTAGAATACGGAGGGAGTATTTGAATTCGAATTTGTATTTGAAAAAATTAAACAAATACAAATACAAAATCTCATTATTCGACTCGATTCGGTTCGTTTACAACCACAGTTACAATCCTTCTATGCGGCAGTGTGTGATATGTGGGTTCACTGAACATCTTTTGGGTGTCTAGACAAGGTGTTGTAGATCGACGGGACCGCGCAGACTGCGCTTTGTTCGGGGTGCTCACGAAATTATTTTGTTGCTTTTGATCGCTTTGTTAGCGTGGACCCTCGTTGGATACTTGGATTGAAGGGCCCATGTGAGTGAAGATCAGAGTTCTTTAATTGGCTTGAGCCATTATATTTATATAATCTATCAGTATGTGGATCGTGGATTTGGAGTCATATACTCTATGAAGCTATTTTTATTGTCAAATTAATATAAATAATTATTAAATAATATAAAAACTCACAGCAAATAAAAGCAAAACCACGAATTAAAGAGGAATACTTGGGCATTGTAGTCGGGGCCTTCACAAGCTAGATTCAGGGCTGGCGGTCATTGTCCACCTAGCGTCTAACTCAATTTTGGACATTGGTTTTTCCTAGTTAGGATTTTTTTTGTAATTTTTAATATATAGGCCTGAAACCGATTCGAATCTTGAGCAAAATTTTTGGAACCATTTAAAAAACTCAACTTTTACTAGTGATTTCGTTCGTATGAATTATTTGTAGAACAAATATGGACCTAACCAAACTTTAACGGTTCGGATTTAATCATTTTTTGGTTCTTAATTTTTTAAAAATCTCCTACAAATCACTACTAAATTAAATTTGTGACACTTTAAGACATTCAACATTTGAAATTATAAGAAATACAAATGAGTTCAAGTTTCAAACGTTGAATGTCTTTATGTGACACAAATTTATAACAAGTTAAAAATTTTACTACAAGAGGAATCGTGTAAATACTTATGTAGTTACCAACTCTATTAACTAAACTAAATTAGTGAATTTAATATTTAAATATATATACACACACTAATTAGTAATAAATAAAAACTTGAACGATTAAGAAAACATATTGTTATAGGAATCAAGAATTGAATCATTAATAAAATTTGAAATCGAACCAGTAATAAATACTTCCTCCGTCTCGTTGAAAGGTTCTCACTTTCCTTATTTGGGTATCTCATTTAAAAATGGGGGTTTGACATGAATATTACTAAAAAGTAGATAATGGACAAAAAAGACTTTTTTCTTAAATTCCAAAAATGTGACTAATAAGCAAAATCTTTACTAATTAATTTACCCACTTTAGCCCGTACGAAATCCAATCACGAAGACCAGCGATGCCCTTTAGCCTTAAGACTTCAATACAAATGCTAGTTTAGGGTTATTTTGGTCCATCCGTATTTATTTTACTCCTACTAAACTTTATTTCCGTGTGCACTCCTATATGTGCAATTTCTATTACTTTTACTCCTATATTGGTAATTAACTCATGCTTTTTTTTACTACATATTTGATACTCCGTATTACCTTAATGCAATCCGTACCAATGACTACATAAGTTTTTTTTTGGAAAAATTCGGCTTATATTGATAACAGATAATTCAGAGTATGAGTCAAACGACAAAAAGAAATCTGACAACCTCTCACCGTCTTCAGATAATTCCAATAAAGTCGGCGGTGCGGCGCGCAACGAAGACGGTGAGCGGCGGCTGCATATGAAGGAGAGGTCACGGGAAGAAGCAAAAACGCAAAGAGACCATGACTGCAGCCCACAGGAAGAAGCACACACGAAGAGAGAGCATGGCTGCAGGGAGGAAGCTAGAAGAAAGTGGTCTGGGGGAGAACAAAAGAAAACATTCGTATTATAGGTGAAGGTTAAAATTGTAAATGAATAATGAAAATGGTCATATGTGGAAAACGGGAGAGCTGTCATATTTTTGTCATTACGTTTCCCATTAGTATTATACTAGTATCGTACCCGTGCGATGCACGGGACAATTTTTTGTTGTATTTTGTTATGAGATATACATATCGAAATATCAAAGCAATACACATTTAATATAATAAGATTGAAATAAATACGGAGTATATGATATTGAAGAAAATTACACGTTTTGAATGAATATATGTTGAATTAAAAAAATTAAGAATATTATATCACAAAGCAAACTACACGTTTTGAAAAACCTCTGGTTATACAACATTTATGGTTTAGTTATTGGAGGCACCATCCGTTTTTTTCTTTTTTTTGCATATCCTTGTAAACCTATTATAGTATCTGCTCTAGTGGAGGCACCATCCGGTTGTTTATCAAGATTTTCAATCCTTTCACGTCTGGTGACTTGGGAACAACCACATAGAGTTTACATTTGATGCACACTTTTGTGGTAGCTTTTATGCATGATAATATATATATATATATATATATATATATATATATATATATATATATATATATGTATATGTATATATATATGTATACGTATATGTATATATATATATATATTATTTTAATATTAACCATACTTTCTCTATATAAATATATAGTCGATCAAAGTTAGAAACAATTAATTTGAAAAGTCAAGGCGGGCTAATTTAGATGAACGAAAGGAGCGTTAAACTTTAAAGAGTGTTTATATGTTTATTTTTCATTTCTTTACAATTAAATTATTATTATGGCTTGCTCGCTTGCTCGCTGTAAATCTCACTGCAATATAACTCTAAATTATTTAAGTTTAAATATTATTTAATCATTGTCATAGACTCATTATTAAGTTTCAATTTATTTTTATCATCTAAAAACATCACCCTTTTTGAACTCGTAAGTATGGAATTTTATTTTTGCACCCCTTTTCAAAACAATCGTATCTGGACTTGGAGTAAAATACGGGCAGATTCAGCTCAAGCCTCAATATAACAATCGTTGCAGTGGTAGAAGTCCGAACTTAATTCATCCTCGGGTCTTGTTCCTGTTTCTAGATGTCTACTTAGCCCACTTAATCTTGGCCCAACTCCTTACACAAAACCCTACTCCACCATCTAAATGTCGTTGTTGTCCGAAGTTGGCCCGCCCCAAAGTCGCAGCTTCTCCCAAAACTATTTTCTCGCACCTTCCACAACATATCCACGCCAGGCTCTTCCACACCATATCCACCTTCTCCCAATCAACTAAATGAGACCTTGGCATTCTTCACAGTCAATTCGCGGTCGGTGGAGGAAGGTGGGTTCGGTACTCAGCCTGAGAGTGTTTATCTGATGTATCACAGTCGCGAGGTATGTAGCTACTATTTTTAGCTCTGAGATCAATTTCATACTTTTTTCTTTATCTGTTTGAATATGGAAAGAGTTGTAACCATGGTTTTCATTACTGTTGCTGAGGGAGGGTCTCCAAAGCTTATAGTTCTGCATGAAGAGGATCGAGACTTCTAACTGGGAAAGAAATGGAGTCTTGGCATTTCCACACCGTAGCTACCTTCTCCCAGTCAGGTTTGTTTGTTTTAATTTCTGTATAAATACTCTTGACATTTTTTTTTGTTTCTTTTCCAACCTGATTTGCTAATCCATTGCACTGTTAAGAAATGAACTAATTTCTTCTTATGTCTATCTTCGTAGCTCATACATCGAGAAGAAGCTGGGGACATGCTCTGAGAAATCGGCCGACTGGAATAAGATAAGTTTTTCCAAACTTTTTTGTCTTTATATTTTCAGATCTGATGTTTCTTCAAATTTATGTAGCTATTGTTATATATTAATCATGTATATTAATGTAAGTATATTGTCTCACGACTTTGAGATCAATTTTCATGAAACTTTTTGTCTTAATATTTCAAATATCACATACTACGTATGTACTTAGATCTGTTTGGATATGATGTTACGAAGTTACTTCAGATTTTTACGGATTTTATATTATTAAATTAAATTGTATCGATATGAAATGTCTTGAAAATGCATTTGTGACTTTCAAAATCAGGCTGTAATTGCATTGCTATTTCTGAAAGAATAAGATACCTACCCTAAATTATACTACGTACTTTTTTAATACTGGATCAATTTCTTTCAAAGTGTTCAAGATAAAGCCAATCTCAATTATTGTGGGTTGTGAAGATCGAAATACTTAGATTTCTCATCATTGGTCCTAATTTCATTTTAGGCTTGGCTACGGTGGAAGTAAAAGAACATCAAAGAAGAGAGATCCCTATATAATGGCTGAAGCATTGATTAAAAACTTAACAGGTTGATATAAACTATATTATTTATTCACCTTTTCATGAAATAAACTGTTTTTTAGATACGCATTCAATCTTCACATTTTGATTTAGTTGAAATCATTATGTGTTAAACCTAATGTAATAATTCACTTAATCTTTACACATCTTAAAAAATTCAAAAATTAACATGGTTAATTGCTTATACCCATTGATTTTATTGAATCTGAAATATTGTGAAATTCCAAACTATATTATTAAACATATTGATCCAAACATGGTTTTGAACAATGAATTTTTGAGAAAATTTTCTCTTAAAAATATATAATTTATATAATCTAAATTTAATAAATAAATCTTCTTATGTAAAGTACATATTAAATATACATATACGTTCTTATATATATTGATATAATAATCAAAAGGTTGAGGTCAAGTCCTTGATTTCAACCCCCAATTCATGGTTTATTGATTCATATTTTGCAATTATAATTAGACATACGGAAATATACCAACCTAGTTTGACTATTTATTTATATTTTAAAAGTAACTCTAATCTCAAGTTTTGTTTATATATGGTATCCAAACCAAGAATTGGGTTTCACATTTTGTTGCGTATATAAGTTCAGTTTTACATTACGCACTTGGTTTTAGAAAGAACGGTTTCAAAATTAATCAAAGCTTTTGGCTTACATTGATTAATTTGAAACGCTTCTTTGTAAAATGCAATGAATATTAAACATATGATCTTCACAATTTATTTAGAAACTTTCAAATATCATAGTTTATAATCACAACAGTCTGTCTTTACTAAATCATACATACTCTAGAATCCCTTTAAAATATTGTTCAAATCCATGTTTCTTAAGCAATATTTGTGAACGTACTTTCCTGCATCGTTGTCAACCATTGATGTCTTGTACTGTGGCTGAAAATGATATTGAATGCACAATTTGTTCCCTTGTACGTCAGTAACGTTACATGATCCTTGAACGCACCAAGCCTTTCTGGACAAATTGTAGCATGAATTTTGTCACCGTACCCTATCAAAATCAAGAGTGTGAGTAGCTTAGTGACTGTAAAATTTTGAAACTTATACCGTTAACAATGAGTTTTCAATTACCTCACGATCATGAAACAGCAATAGTTTAGAACCGGAATGAAACACTAAATCTAATAATAATGATCTAAAGTTAAGAGACGAAAGAAAAGGTGTAGAAGTATACTGCTATGCGTGCTTTCTGAGATTTGATATGATCTTGAATTCATTTTTGTCGCAGCATATATAAAATGATCCATGTGGGGTAAAAGTCATAAAACTGCAATGAGCAACTGCTTGTTACTGACGTGCCAGTTGAGATGTAACTACCCCATTATTGGGCTTCGAATGTCCTAATATTTGCCATGTGGTTGCAGCTGGGAATTTCCAGAAAATGAACCGTTATTATTTTGTGAAAGAATCTGTATTGTGTTTGTATTTAGCCATCTGTTGACACGTGTAATATTTTGATGGCAAGATTGCACCTGATTGTTTTCACGATTCTGCTTTTATATATATATATATATATATATATATATATATATATATATATATATATATATATATATATATATATATATATATAGATGATATGCACAACTCTTTTTCTCATGTATTGTTCACTCTCTGTAAGTGTCACCATTTGATCTTTCCCCCTAGCAGATCTGCCAAACGATGGAGTTGCTTAAGATATGAAAAATAAGCTACTTTCAATGAGCAGAAGGTATAAATCCCTCGACCATCTAAAGCTTAAACAGTAATTTACACAAAGCTCCAAATTAAACTATTTGAAATATTTATGTTTTTAAGAATTGAACCTATACTATTATATTTAAGAAAACATATCTACGGTTTGAAACATGCATCCACTTCATTTTAATAACCTAAATTCTACTTTTCACAGTTATTTTCCAAAAAAATGTCTAATTAACATTTATTAGCGAAAGTGACTTGCCATTATTTCTTAAATGGGAAAAATAATAAAAATACCCAAAACTTTGAAGGGTTGTGAGGTAAATACTCCAAACTTGCATATGTAATTTAAATACCCTAAACTTTAAATAAAAAGTTATTTTTGCACCTTTTTCATGTATTATTTCTTTAAAAAATGTAAGTTTATGAGGTTAATTGCATAATTTAAAATAGAAAATTAAAAGTTTTGCAATTATATAGATTGGTGGTAACATTATTTATTTCCTAATGCAAGCTTAAAATGTTAATTGTGTCTTCATGAATTCCAAAATATTTTAAATTATGCAATTAATAACGTAAACTTTACACTTTTGAAAGAAATAATAGCTAACTATGGTGCTAAAATAATTTTTTATATAAAGTTTGGGGTATTTAAATTACATATGCAAGTTTGGGGTATTAATCTCACACCCCTTCAAAGTTTGGGATATTTAAAATATTTTCCCCTTTCTTAAATATATCTAGCGTGCAATTTGTGTTTTATATTCTTACACATGCATTATTATTTTTACTTTTTATGCAATTATAATTACATAAAAAGTTTCCTTTTTACCCTTGGTTACTCGCTTCTTACAGACCTATACTTATATTATATACTCAAAAAGTGAATCTATATTTCTTCTCTCAAAAGATGTCTGAAAGTGAATCTGTGTTTTTTAATTGAAAGCTAATAGAAACCTATATACCTACATACATCAAACAAAAACTATAGATTTAAACATGCATCCTTTTCATTTTAATAATACTAAATTTTACTTTTCATAGGTAATAGTTGTAATAAATGTCTTTTTTATCCTTTCGAAAAAGACTCATTATCATTCACTTGAGCATAGCGACTTTGCCACTTTTTCTTAAACATTTTAAATCCAATCTGTGTCGCTTATACTTGCAAACAATATTATTTCAAGTTGCTTACCCGCTTCATACAGAACTAATTCTGATATTACAAATACATACCTATTTTTAAGCATACAAATCTTGGATACAATCATGCCTTCTCATACCACTTACTTGATAATGACACATTGACAGTTCTCCATCTTGAAGTAGCTTAAAGTAGCTTGATGAAGGTTCTGTGTGCTCTTTGCTCGTTATATATACTACTCCGTATATACATATATATGGTCTTATACTCTTATCCTGCACCAAGACAATAAATACCGAGTATGTGGTATTGGTAATTTCAATAGTCATTTTGAAGATCACTCCAATTTATTACGGAGTATTATTCTCTTTTGTAAAAATTGTGTTTTGTATAAGTCACTTCAATTATTATTCTACAAATTGTACTCCGTATATACTATATAGTTGGGAATTTAAAAAGTTACTTCAATTATTGCTCTAGCATTTATTAGTGCTCTACTCAATAAAGCTTTTTTAGTATTCTGTGCGGTTGTCTTCTAATACCTTTTAGGAGTGCTAACGTAGATTTGCTTTAAAGATGGTGCACTATCCCGCCCAAAATCCCGCCAAAACTCCCCACACTTTTCTATTTTACTATATAATATAGATATAGATAGGTCATTGTTTCTTTAAAAATTCTCATTCCACTTTAGAAAATACTTTATTCTCTATGATTACACTTTTACTCAAATATTTTTCGAACTCATTACATGTCAAATCTCACAATTTATCGTTCCCCAACATATCTCCCTTTAACTATTTTCACTTATATGTTTACTGTTTTTTAAATTTTTTCTTTCCTCTTTTTTTATCCATATTACTTTACCCAAAGACTTTCCTACAAAATCATACCATTCACCACGAGATCCTTCTAACAAGACGGAGCGAGTAACTAATTAATACTGGAACCAAACCGAACTGGGTCACAACGGTTCGGTTTGCTGGTTCTTGGTTCCAAAGTCTCGATATGAAGTATTGGGCTGGACCTAAGTAGAGATTTGGCAAAAGTGAGCAAAACTACGAGCCAAATAAGCGAGTCAAGGCCCAAATAGTCAACAATGACTGCGTCAAAACGTCGCCCACCATAGGAGAGCCAGCAAACGGTCAATAAACCGTCGGCGTTTCTCGTTCGGAGTGAACTTCAGAATTTTAACCCATTTTCTCTGCATAGATGGAAAATTCAACTCAAGAATCGAACCTCCGATCTGACAATACTGTCACCTACGATTCTCCATACCCAATTTACGCCATGGCAGTGTCCTCCTTCGGTTCCGCCACCAACGGCCTCCGGCGACGCAACATTGCCGTCGGCAGCTTCATCGAAGAGTACAAAAACCGGGTCGAGATTCTCTCTTTCGAAGAAGACACTGTAACTCTCAAGCCAGACCCGGCGCTAGCCTTCGATCACCCATACCCGCCGACGAAGCTGATGTTCCACCCAAACCCTACATCCGCCGACCTTCTCGTCTCCTCCGGCGACTACCTCCGGCTCTGGGAAGTCCGGGAATCTTCCGTTGAGCCGATTTCCACTTTCAATAACAGCAAATCGAGCGAATACTCCGCCCCGCTGACCTCCTTCGATTGGAACGAGGTTGAGCCGCGGCGGATCGGGACATCTAGCATCGACACCACCTGTACGATCTGGGATATCGAGAAAGGGGTCGTAGAAACCCAATTGATAGCCCACGACAAAGAGGTATACGATATAGCCTGGGGGCAGGCCGGAGTTTTCGCGTCGGTTTCCGCCGACGGGTCGGTCCGGATCTTCGATCTGAGAGATAAAGAACACTCCACGATCATATACGAGAGCCCTCAGCCGGAGACGCCATTGTTGAGGTTAGCTTGGAACAAGCAAGACCTGAGGTATATGGCGACCATTTTAATGGACAGTAATAAGATTGTGATTTTGGATATAAGGTCGCCGGCGATGCCGGTGGCGGAGCTTGAGCGGCACAACGGCAGCGTGAATGCGATTGCTTGGGCCCCACAGAGCTACAGGCACATATGCTCTGGTGGAGATGATGGGCAGGCCCTTATCTGGGAATTGCCCACCGTTGCAGGCCCAAATGGGATTGATCCGTTGTCTATGTATTGGGCTGGATCTGAAATTAATCAGCTCCAGTGGTCTGCGGCCCAGCCTGATTGGATTTCCATTGCGTTTTCTAACAAGTTGCAGATGCTTAAAGTGTGAGCTACATAGATAACAAAGTTTGCATCTTTACTAGATTTGTAGGAGTGTATGTGCTGGGTTATTGGTCATCAATTGATCAATTATTGTGTTTGGTATGTACTATTATTAAGTTAGTATGTTTGGTATTTGTCAATGAGATTGTTTAATGTTATACTCCGTAATAACTTACGGAGTACGTAGTATATAGTTATATGCCTTCCGTTTCGTTTGGTTTTCGGGGTTTCTGCCCCAACCCGCTGCAATATGCGGTGTTTTACGTGTTGAAATAAGGCATTTTCGGTAAAACGTCAATTCCCAAACAACCCTTCCTCTCGGCTTAGAATGAGTATATATAATTTCTTGAACAAGGACATCCTTGACCTGTGGTTCTGCCATAACACTTCAGATTCGTTTGTACAATGTGGTTTAGATTTGTTTGTTTTTTAAAAATTATTAGACCTTGTTAAACTGTATTTGTGTTCGAGATTATCCAGTTGCCTTGGTTTGTATTCACTTTTGTTTCAGTTTAATATGACTTGGAAAAAATATAATCTAATTGAAGTTGAACTAGTCCTGCAAAATTCTCACCCTAATCAGCACACTCTAGAACAAATTGGTGTGGTTGCCGATATTCTATTCAATTTGTCACTATGACTTAGTTTGCAAACAATTAATTTAAGTGCTTTTGCTTTTTTTTTAAGAAAAAAACATTTATTTTACCAAACAATACCAACTTTTACTTTCTCGGTTTTCGTGTAGAATCTACTTTTTACTTTTTCTATTACACAAAAAGCACTTATTTTACCAAACACTGTCAACTTTTATTACTAATCACTTTTTCCCAAAAAGTGCTTTTATTTAAGCACAATCACTTGCAAACAGAGCCTACGTATTTTTTAATTGAAACTATTTCCTCCAATCAATTTTGCTTTGGGTACCCCAAATCCTACCCCATTTGTACCCCATATAAAAACTCATCCCCATTTTTTTCTTCCCTCTTCCCTCTCTCCTGCAACCACCTCTCTTCCTCCCTCCCTCCCTCTCCTCTTTTTCACGCACCCCCTCCCTTCCCCTTTCTTCTCTATTTCAACATCTTTCTCCTTCTTTAAAACTTCCCATTTTTATCACCATCCCCCCTTCAACCTCCGATCTTCTCTTGCTTATCTCCTCTTCCACCGGTGACGTTACCGACGGCGGCCCTATGCCGGTTGCCGACGGCGGACATATGTTGGTTGCCATTTCGGATGCAACCTCAAGGGAAGACAACGATGAATGCATACCAAGAAGCTTTGAATAACTTGAGCAACAAATATTCTTTTCTTGATTTTGTTTTCTTGATTTTTGATGTATTTTGAAAATAAAAGGAGTTGCCTGTCTGCCAGACAACTTGTAAGTGCAGTGTTTGTAAGAGTCGTGAAATTGTCTATCCTTTGAAAAATAAATGTCTGTAATTGATATTTAATTGTTTGTCATTTGTTTATTAATT